TCACAAACTTTAGATATTTTTAGCATGTCTCTTTCCTTTGATGGCTGTGTTGATGCACTATCAAACTAATACAAAATATCTATGATAAAATTTTAGACTTTTTTTACTTAGGTAAGCGCGTGCTCATAAAGTGGTCTCACTTTTTAGTAAATCTGCCATTTAAGCTATTAAACAATATTTGAGTAGTCTGCCATCATCTGGGTCTAGATTCAGAAAAAAATCCGTAAACAAAAACTGCGACATGAAATACCTAATAGTGACCAATGTTTGCAACAGCTTCATTCATGTTCAAGACCATTTTTTTCAATTTTCTTCAAAATTGAATGTCAGTTTTTTAAGTTTAAAGTTACGGTTTTACAGTTACGGTACAGTTAACAGTTATTTTTGATACAGAAATTTTTTTTTTTAACACAAAAAAATTTTCTCAAAAAGAAAATGTAATTAGAGTTCATTTTGCTTTTTAGGTTGTTTTTGTTTTTGAGCCAAATCTATAAAATCAAGTTCGGATTTCCTGGGTGTTTGGAATGAAAAACCAACAATTTGAGAAGACGTTTTATCGTATTGTGCTGAAAAATAACCGCGCAAACAACCGAATGTCGTTCAAATCGGTCTAGTAAACCCACTATAGTCATTCAAGAAGGGTTATCTTGCCAGATCTTGCATGATTCCTGCAATTGAGGGTCATTTGGAAATTTTTGCAAGATGTAGGTTATCTTGCAAGATCTTGCAAACAAGAGTGAGATTATTTTGCAAGTATCTTGCGAGATTGTTGCAAGATCTTGTAAGATAACGTACTGTAATTTAAAAAAAATTTATTTTGAGCACAAGAAAAGTACTATGAAGATCCATTTTGATTTTGTCTATGGTCACAAAGAAATATAACTATAAATTCAGATCAAGACTTCAGTTTGACCAAATTCTAAAATAGTTCATACTTAAGCTCATTTTTCAGTTTTCGTAATGTAAGAAGTTTCAGGTTGAGGTTTCAGTTTAATTTATTTTTTAATTTTATTGAAATCATTCATTTAATTTTGCAGCTCTAGTGATTGAAGTTTTTATTTGCGTTTCTTATGTCAAAGTTCTAATAAATAGAGTCAATTAGCTTGAGATATTTTGCATATTGTGTTTAAATGAATACGATAAACAATTATGCGGTTATTTTTTTCTATTTTATCTTCTATTGATTTGTTTATTCAATAAAAAGGATAAAATTTGTTTGTGGTATTGCTTCCTTCGTACACAAAATATTTAGGTTCTTTAATCTGTTATAAAGCTGTTTTTTTCTCACAAAAAATCAAATAATTAAATATTTTTCTTAAAAACGCTTATTTTTAAAATTATCTATAGCAAGATCTTGCATTTTTAAAAACATGCATTGCCTCTTAAGAATCTTGCAAGATAACCTCCCTTGATCGACCTTGTAAACTAATAAACTTCATTTATTGGAAACTCGCCGACAAAATGCAGAAGTTTTCCAGTAACTTTAAGTTCTTTTACCTCAATGAGCGGCTGTTTTGCTGCCAGGTCAAACTACTGATAATATACTAAAAGTTCTAAATTTAAGCAGGCGCGTAATCACAAAAATAATTTAAACTTTTCTCTTAAGTTTTGGATGAAGTAATCACAAAAATAATTTAAACTTTTCTCTTAAGTTTTGGTCATCATCTAGGCCTTCAATCAAAAAAAAAAAAAAAACTTCAACATATTATATCTTATTGAGACCAATCTTAGCTACTTTTTTAAAACAATGTTCACTTTCTTATAAAAAAAACTAATGTCCATTTTTTATTTTGAAGGTTGTAATCGTAATTGCAAAAATTTCTTCCAAAAAAAGGTTTTCAAATATGCAATATCATCAACAAAACAAATGTTTTATCTGATTTTTTTTTCATTTCATTTGGTGCAATTTGGTTTGGCGGGGTAATTGGTCAAAAAGATCTGTGTACAGAAATCTTATCTATATCTGTGCAAAATGGGGAGCCAGAATATCACAACAGAAAACCAAACGTCATGCCTTGAGTTAACTCCCACTCAAAGGGTTCACCGATCTGTTCAACAAGGAAAACCAAAAATTAGAAAATTTCAGAATTTTTTTTTCACAGAAAAAACGACCAGGAAAAAAAATTGAAAAGATGTAATTTTCATGATCTCAGATGCTCAACGAATGTTTCATCTGCAAAACTAACAACATAGTTCTCGTAAGAGTTTGTCATGTTGACAAAGTTGGCATGTCTTGGAGTTCTACATTACACCGTACGACAATGCCCGGGTCGAGACCCCGCTCAAAAACCGCTCAAGATATGAGCGGTTTGAGCGGTTTTTCAGCAAGAGTTGAGCTGTTTGAGTTTTTTGAGCGGTTTGTTTTAAAAACCCGCTTAAACCCCTCAAGTCTTGCTTATAAAACCGCTCAAAAACCGCTCATTTCTTGCTGTGACTTTATAACTGTTTCTCAAGCAAAATTTGAGCTGTTTTTAAGCGGTTTTTGAGCGGTCTTATAAAGAAAACCGATTAAAACCAACAAAAAGGCCTTGAAAGGTAACGTGACAACGGGTTGACCTCCATAAACCGAAAATGCTTACCTTACATTTCCCCACACCGAAAAAGCTTATCATACAATTGCCTGCATCAAATGTATGGAAAAAAATCTAATCATACAATTTTCATACAGTTTCAACAAACCATTGAAAAAAGATTCAATCTAGTTTCTCCAGCTTTTTGAACCAAATACAACAGTCTGGTGATGAAAAATAACTATGTTTAATTTTTTTTTTTGAAAAAAAAATGGTTATCATACAATTTCCATATATGAAAAATGAAAGATAATCATTTTTTAATGAAAGGCAAGATTTTCAGAAATTGTTCATATTAGTTAAGAGTGTTTTTGCTCAATTTAAAGGACATTGCTGATCAAAAACAAAAATTTAATTTGAAGCTAAAAAATAGTTATCATACAATTTCCCTATATGAAAATTGCGCGGTTCTTGAGCGTTTTTTTTTTTAGGTAAACCGCTCAAAACCGTTCAAATCTTGCGCGGTTTTTGAGCGTTTTTTTCTCAGATGAACCGTTTAAAAACCGCTCAAACCGCTCATTTTAAAGCAAGATGTTGAGCGTAATTGTCTAAAAAAACCGCTCAAACCGCTCAAATCTTGCTTCAAATTAGGTGAAAAATCTCGACTCGGGTGGCAAAAACCTCCAAAAATGTTATTACGCAAATCCAGGTGCTGAAAATTGTAAGTGCAATCAGCGTAAAAGGTAACTTTTAAGGCCGAACCAGGTGGAAGTTTTCAAAGAATCGACCAAAAACGGAGAGTTTAGAACCGTTGAAATGGCGATCCATTATAGAAAACGAAAGCGTAATCGTTTCTAGTTTACACAATGTATTTGAGTTTTTGTTGCTTTGATCTTTGATTTGATTATAAATTAGTTGGTTGCACGTGTTTGCTAATTCAGTTTTGCATTTTTCCAGTTTTGTATTTGCTGAGTTCTGTTTTTCAAATTCTTTCCCGGAGTTTTCCTGATTGCATGTGAAAAGTTGAAGTCATCTAAGATGGTTGTCAATTGTCAAATTGGCATATAACACTCGGCCCCATTTAGCTGTTGCAAAATAAATTGAGAAAAAAGGGGTGGGGTAGTTCCTACTTACAAAGTTTAAAACGCTGGCTTAACGGTCGTTTAAGTGTCAGTTGAAGTTATCGCTATGGCTGTCGGCGCAAGGCTGCTTTGGGGTGAGGCTCTCACTGCCGTGAATCTTCGTTTGCTGGTTGATTGCAATAATCCGGACTAACAGGTGCTAGTCTAATGGCTGGCATTGACACAATTTTGTATCTTAATTTGACGAAGTAAACGCGGAAGTAAACGCGTCATCGTCGTTCGGTTTGTTTCATGTGATCCGTCCAACTGACCAGAGTCCTCGTGGCGTCATATCCTGAAGAATCCAGACAATTTCTCCTATTTTGATAGGCGGCGTTTTTTTTGTCCATTGTTGTCTTGGCAGTAGTGTTGGGATAAACTGCTTCATCAAGCGTTTCCAAATATGGGTTGCGAGTTGTTGGGCGAATTTCCATTGTCGACTGAGTGTTGAGGGCTGTTGGGTTTTTAGAGGTGGCATGCTGGCATGCGCTCTCCCGAGAAGAAAATGATTTGGGGTGAGGGCTTCAACAACATCGGGTGATGCTGAAAATGTAGTGATGGGTGTTGCGTTCATGAAGTGTTCAACTTCGCTTAGAACGGTGTTGAATAATTCGTCTCTTAGAATCTGGCTTCCTATGATGGCATAGAACGAGTCTTCGACTGATCTTATGAGTCGTTCCCATACACCTCCAAAATGAGGAGCATAGGTAGCGTTTGTGGCCCATACAATCTGATGGTTGGCGTAGAGTTGTCCTGTAATATTGGCGTCGAAGTGTCTGTTGAGTTTTTTTTCATATGCGGTGAAATTTGTACCGTTATCAGAAACAATTTTGGCTGGTTGTCCTCTGCGTTCAAAGAATCGCCTTAAAGTATTGATGAAGGCGTCAGCTGATTGGTCCTGGCACATCTCAAGATGTACGGCTCGTGTTGTTAGGCAAGTCAAGTATTTAGCAGTTGCTAAATAAATTGAGAAAAAGGGTTGGGGTAGTTCCTACTTATAAAACATAAAACGCTGGCTTAACGGTCGTTCAAGTGTCAGTTGAAGTTATCGGCTATGGCTGTCGGCGCAAAGCTGCTTTGGGGTGAGGTTCTCATTGTCATGAATCTTCGTTTGCTGGTTGATTGCAATAATCCGGACTAACAGGTGCTAGTCTAATGGCTGGTATTGACTCAATTCTGTCTTTTATTTTGACGAAGTAAACGCGGATCTGGTCATTGTCGTTTGGTTTGTTTCATGTTATCCGTCCAATTGGCCAGAGTCCTCGTGGCGTCATATCCTGAAGAATCCAGACAATTTCTCCTATTTTGATAGGCGGCGTCTTTTTTGTCCCTCGTTGTCTTGGCAGTAGTGTTGGGATAAACTCCTTCATCAAGCGTTTCCAAATTTGGGTTGCGAGTTGTTGGGCGATTTTCCATTGTCGACTGAGTGTTGAGGGCTGTTGGGTTTGTAGAGGTGGCATGCTGGCATGCGCTCTTCCGAGAAGAAAATGGTTTGGGTGAGGGCTTCAACATCATCGGGCGATGATGAAACTGTAGTGATGGGTCTTGCGTTCACGAAGTGTTCAACTTCGCTTAGAACGGTGTTGAATAATTCGTCTCTTAGAATCTGGCTTCCTATGATGGCATAGAACGAGTCTTCGACTGATCTTATGAGTCGTTCCCATACACCTCCAAAATGAGGAGCATAGGTAGCGTTTGTGGCCCATACAATCTGATGGTTGGCGTAGAGTTGTCCTGTAATATTGGCGTCGAAGTGTCTGTTGAGTTTTTTTTCATATGCGGTGAAATTTGTACCGTTATCAGAAACAATTTTGGCTGGTTGTCCTCTGCGTTCAAAGAATCGCCTTAAAGTATTGATGAAGGCGTCAGCTGATTGGTCCTGGCACATCTCAAGATGTACGGCTCGTGTTGTTAGGCAAGTCAAGTATTTAGCAGTTGCTAAATAAATTGAGAAAAAGGGTTGGGGTAGTTCCTACTTATAAAACATAAAACGCTGGCTTAACGGTCGTTCAAGTGTCAGTTGAAGTTATCGGCTATGGCTGTCGGCGCAAAGCTGCTTTGGGGTGAGATTCTCATTGTCATGAATCTTCGTTTGCTGGTTGATTGCAATAATCCGGACTAACAGGTGCTAGTCTAATGGCTGGTATTGACTCAATTCTGTCTTTTATTTTGACGAAGTAAACGCGGATCTGGTCATTGTCGTTTGGTTTGTTTCATGTTATCCGTCCAATTGGCCAGAGTCCTCGTGGCGTCATATCCTGAAGAATCCAGACAATTTCTCCTATTTTGATAGGCGGCGTCTTTTTTGTCCCTCGTTGTCTTGGCAGTAGTGTTGGGATAAACTCCTTCATCAAGCGTTTCCAAATTTGGGTTGCGAGTTGTTGGGCGATTTTCCATTGTCGACTGAGTGTTGAGGGCTGTTGGGTTTGTAGAGGTGGCATGCTGGCATGCGCTCTTCCGAGAAGAAAATGGTTTGGGTGAGGGCTTCAACATCATCGGGCGATGATGAAACTGTAGTGATGGGTCTTGCGTTCACGAAGTGTTCAACTTCGCAAAGAATGGTGTTGAATATGTCGTCTGTTAGAATCTGGCTTCCTATGATGGCATTGAACGAGTCTTTGACTGATCTTATGAGTCGTTCCCATACACCTCCGAAATGAGGAGCATAGGCAGGGTTGAAGGTCCATTCAATCTGATGATTGGCGTAGAATTGTCCTGTAACATTGGCGTCGAAGTGTCAGTTGAGTTTTTTTCGGATGCTGTGAAATTTGTACCGTTATCAGAAACAATTTTGGCTGGTTGTCCTCTGCGTGCGAAAAATCGCCATAAAGTATTGATGAAGGCGTCGGCTGATTGGTCCTGGCACATCTCAAGATGTACGGCTCGTGTTGTTAGGCAAGTCAATATAACGCTGTAGCGTTTGTTGTAGTTTCCTGCGGTTTTCGAAGCAAACGGTCCAAAGAGATCTAATCCTGTTAATCTTCTGGAAATCTGAAGGCGGGTAGGGGCGCAAGTTCCGGCTGTAGTCCATTTGCCTGTTGTCGTCAGCAGTCGTAACGGTTTTTTTGACTTTGTCAATGTGTGCGCGAACACAGAGAATCCAATACTTGTTTTGAAGAATATTTTTTAAGTGCTGGCGTGGCGAATGCTGGTTGTCTTTGTGAGTTTGTCCTATAAATAGGTGAACTGCTGGGTGGTTTCCAGCAAGGATAGTCCGGTGTTTTATGCAATAGTCCAATTAAGATTTCTCGAGGCGTCCACGTGCTCGCAAGAGTCCGTCTTTGTCTAGAATTGGTGATAGATGTCGAAGTCTGCTAGTTGTGTTGGTTCGTTTATTTTGTATCAATGAATTGACCTCTGGTTTTGAGCTGTCTCGTAGCGTCTGCTTGAAGTTAAATTTCTTTGGGGCAATCATGTTGTTGCTTTTCAGTTCGGTGGTCGAGTTTTTGTTGCGGAAGTTTAGTCCTTTTTCTTTAAAAATACTGGCGGCACGGATCACGTGTGCAGTTGTTCTGAGAATTCTTGTCCAATTGGAGAATCTGCTGTAGTCGTTGAAACTTTTTTAGTCGTTCTGTCTTTTCGGTTGAAGCTTGAAAAGCTAGCACTGGGGTTGGTGTCCCGTTTGATCGTTGAGTTACAAGGTATCCGTTTTTGCGACGATTAACTGTAGCTTTGGCCAGTTGCATTTTGGTTCACATATGAGTTTTGGTCGGGTGAACCATCTTGACTTGTTACTGAATTCTGAAAGGGGTATTCCACGGGTTCTGTCGTCTCCTGGGTTTAGGGGTCCTGGGCAATGATTCCATTGAGGCGCTGTTGTGCTGTCTGTCCACATATGCGTAGAGCTGATGTCAATCCTTTGTTCTCTGCGAATGAACTTTGCGAGGCGAGCACCAAAAATTGCAGCTTGAAATTCCATTTGAGTTATTGTGTGTTGTTTTAGAGGAGCCACTCGAGCTTTTCCTAGAACAGAGGCGCTGCTGATTTGCCGAGTGGCACTGTTGCTGTATACAAAATTAGCGACCGCTGCTAGGGCGCTGTAGGAGGCATCTGAAAAATTATGATTAGCGATGTTGTCGTAAATGTATCCAAAAAATTTTCGAGGTATTTCCAATGTCTGTAGATCGTTTCTCTCGTCGAGAAGCTCAGACAGTTCAGGTATCATTTCTCGTGTAATTTGGCCATGCGACTTCATTCCTTTTCTCCAAATTGCTTGCTGGATTATTCGTAGTCGAATCGTAATTGGTGCTGCTATACCAATTTGATCAAAGATTGAAGAAGCTGAGCGAAGTAGGCTCCGTTGTGTTAGTTTATTCTGGGCAATTTCGAGTAGTTTGTCGTAGTGAAGCTGAGTGTATCGTTACTCACTCTCCATCGTATTACGAAATTTCGCTTGAAGATTTTGGGCTCCTTGATTTTGTCTATGGTGATGGATCTATGTTCTTCTGGTCTTGTTTGCAGAATTCTATGATCCGTAGTGATCCACTTCGTTAGGTTGAAATTTCCTTGTTGTAGTACGTGCCGAAGGTCTTCTATGATTTTCACTGCGGTGTCGATGTCGTCGGTGGCTTCAAAGAAGTTGACCATGTAGAAGTTCTCGTTGACAAATTTTTTGATGTGGGGGTGGCTTTCAGCATTGTCGTCTGCGCAAGTTCTTAATGCGTAAATTGCACAAGTAGAAGAACATTTGGCTCCAAAGACGAAACGAGTGTACTCAAAAAATTTGGGTTCTTCCGCTCCCCAGAGGAAACGAAGAAGTTTTCTGTCTTCGGGGTTAACAGAAACCTGCATATACATCCCTTCAATGTCGACAGTGATGGGATGCTTTCGTTCGCGAAACCGGGTAATTACTCCTAGATAGGTTGCAGAGTAAGTCAGGTCCAGTGGGAAGCATATCATTTAGACAAATTCCTTTATATTTGGATTTGGCATTGGAAACACGGCGAAGTTTTCCTGGCTTGTTTGGGTTGATTACGCCATTTTCAGGTAAAATCCATCCTGTCGAAGGTATTTCGTCTGGCTCTAATTTCCTTATGTAGTGCTTGCTGAGTACCTGGTCAATTTTATCCTGGTGGAGAGCCAGTTTTTCTGAAATTTTGTTAAGTTGTTTTTTCATACGGCTGTAGTGGGCAATTGCTGCTTTATAGTTGTTGGGAAGATATGCATTTGGTTTCCACAGAAGTCCAAGTTGATAGCGGTTGTCGTATAATGATACGGTTTTACGAAGTGTTTGCATAGCGTGTCTTTTGTCCGATGACATTATTATTTCAGGTGATGTGGCATAGGTTTTCATTCGTCAGAATGAAGCGAGAATATCCGAGACTTGTGTGTCGTCAGTTGATATTTCTATTGGGGTTGCTGTTGCTTGGAGAAGTATCCAATGTCGTTGTTCGGTCCTGCTATCGTCAATCCTAGGGCTGTAAGGACTGCTCGAGGAACATTTTGATTTCCTTTGATGATGATCTTCGGGCTGATGATGTCAATATTGTCCGTTTCAATCACTAGGGCTACGTGGTTATTGCTGAAGTCCGGAAAACATATATCCCTAAGATGGTTGTATTGGCTGCAGATGTCGTTCAACTTTTCGGGCTCCGCTGCATTCAAAGTTGATGTTCTCTTTGATTAAAACATTAGGTAGTTCAAACGCTAAAGTGTCATTTCCAAATGATTGAACTGTAATATCCACTGCCTTAGCCTCTATCGTTTGCGAGTTGAAGAAACTTCAAATGAGAACTTGTTCCTGATGGTTAGTTTCCTCCAGTTGAAGATATGCTGCTTTCGGTCGCAATATGTAGCTGTTTGTACTTCCTGTATAAAGAAAAGCGTATACATTAAGGTATATGTTGCAGTAACGTAAGGTTACTGGTAAAAGTAGCAGCAGTGAGCTGTTGATTCTTGATATCTTCCTTTGGCTGGCAAGATGGTTGACTTGATTCGCTCGCTGGTTTGGATTAAACTTTGGTGTTTTTGTGTTCGTTGTTCGTCGTGTAGAGTTGTGTGATGATGCTGATTGCATTTGCTGCATGTGTGCTTTGATGGTCAGTCTTTCACTTGATATTGGCCAAGGCAGTTGAAACAAAGTTTCTTTTCAGAAACGAGTCTCTTCTTCTCCTCCAAAGGTGAATTTTGATACTTGCTACAGTATGCTGGGTGGTGAGTTTGTCCGTCGAAGGGACATGGAGGTCGGGTATTTGCACTCCAATTTTGAGAAGTCTTCTGTGAAGGCTGGTTGGTTGATGGTCGGATCCGTTAGCGTGTCGAAGTCTTGGGGTTATTTGTTGTCGATCGTTCGAGTCCAGGGTAATTTGCTGCGGTTGTATATGTGGTAAGTGATCGCATGCTAATGCAAACTGTCTGATCCAGTCGTTGAAGGCGATAAGATAAGGCTGGTCGAGTTTCTGGGCGGTGATGTACTGTGACCACTGAAGCTGCTGATGGTGTTGCAATTTGCTGACGGCAAGCGGAACGTATATTGAAGAGTCTTTGAATCCAAGCGTCCGAAATGTTTCCACCATGTTACTGATGAATGTGGAAAATTCTATGTACGAATCCGTGCGATGAGTTGATGGTTGCTTGAAGCTCTGTAGTCTGTTGACGAAGTTATTGATGATGATGTCGGGTCGTCCATATCGTCGTCGTAGTTCGTGAAGAGCAGCGTTGTACATAGTGCTATTGCAGAAGTAGCCAGAAATAGCTTGATTTTCTTTTCCAGTCGTTAAAGTTAGCAGATGAGTAATCTTTTCGGCGTCTGAGATGGGTTGATTGTGGACTGTTCCTTCGAAGAGTCCGAACCACATGCTCCACTTCATAGGGTTTCCGTCGAAAGGCTCGATTTTTACTTTTGGGAGTCTAGTCATGAGACTGCAGTTTGCTCGCGACTGTCCATTA